GGTCCCCAGGAGAGGACAATCTACAACACAAAACAAGCGTTTCGCTCGAGACATCCTCAATAAATTCTGAAAAACAAGCGTTTCGCTAGGGACATCCTCAAATTTTAATTCGCCGGCCCTCTTCCCACTCGTTATTTATCGCAAAAGAAATTCGCCGGCCCTCTTCCCGTCAAACCCGGGGGGAAACCATCTAAAAGAGAACCCTGGGCTCAAGCCCTTTCCGGGAAAAAAAAAACGCGTAGGCATGCACGGCCTCTCCCGACACGGCACGCACCATCATCATTACCATTGGGGTTTTACCCATGGGGTTTAAGTGAAACATAGGGGCCTTAAGTGAAACAAAATGAAACAAGGGGGACGTGGTTCCACCACGTTTATATGTGGATTGCAGGGGGAACGTGGTTCCACCACGTTTTTATGTGGATCGCAGGGGGTACGATCGCGTCGTGGTCGTGGTCGTCGTCGTCGTCCTTGACGTCGTCGTCTCCCCCTGTGGCCGAACCAGCCGACCTCATCGTCGTGGTCGTCGTAGTGCTCATCGTTGTCATCTACGTCGTCGTCGTCGTCGTCGTCGTCGTCGTCGTCGTCGTCGTCGTCGTCGTCTCCTCCCCCCCTCCTCCCCCCCTCCTCCCCTCGCCGGCAGGGCCCCCCCCTCCTCCCCTCGCCGACGACGTCGACCGCCGCGTCGACCACCTGCCGGAGGCGGGGGCGGCGCCCGCGCGAGGGGGAGGAGGATAAGTGGGAGGAGGAGGGGGGAAGGGAGGCTCTTGGAGTCACAGCTTGTTGGAGGATGAGTAGGAGGAGGAGGTGAGGGGAGGGGGAGGAGGCGAAGACAGGAGGGGCGATGGGGAGGAGGGTGAGGGAGGGGGGGGAGGGTTAGGGAGGGTGAGGGAGGGTGAGGGGAAGGGGGGAGGCTGAGGAGGGGGAGGGTGAGGGGAGGGGGGGAGGGTGAGGGAGGGTGACCAGGGGCGAAGAGGTTATCCCACCAGCCCTCTGGGCGTAGGTGGTTTAAGAATACGTGGTGTTGGATGGACTGTTGGGGAGACGGAGGGGTTAGAGCGTCCAAGATGGCCCAAGATGGCTCCAAGAGGCCCTCCGAGAGCCCAAGATGGCGCACGATAGCTCAAGATGGCTCAAGATAATCTCCGACATACCTCCAAGAGGCCCCGAGACGGCCCCAAGACGAATTCAAGTGCCCACCGAGCCCTCCAAGGACCCCTCTGAGAGGCCCAAATGGCTCCAAAACTTAAGGAAAATCAATGTTTTTGGCCTTCTCGCCTTTTCGCTTCCGATGGGCCTCGGAGGCCTCAAGATCGCCCCAAGATGGCCCAAGAGAGCCCCAAGAGGGGCCCAAGAGGCACCAAGAGGGCCCCAAGAACGCCCAAGCGCCCCAAGAGAGCCCCGCCCCAAGAAGAGGGCCCCAAGACGGCCTTTGAGCCTCCAGACGAGCAGGGCAATTGCGAAGCCGAAACATGATCGACCCACGAACCCGGAAAGGAATATAGAACTGTAACACATGGCAGCGTTTTCAAAGACACCTGATTGGGTGACGGGCAAATGCAATGCTGAATGTATCGATCTCGATGTACCCTGCCGAGGGCTGTGCTGTGCTGCACCGTGCTGAATTGCGATGTGCCATGCCGCGATTGTGCTCTATAGCCTCGTGGATCGAGTCCTCCTTTGCATCCGAGTCCTGACCGAACTGATCTCGATCTTAAGCTCGAGCTGCCTGAACACATAGTAGCTGCCCCAGAGCTGATGGACAGGGGAGCATGTCAGGAGGACGCGCCGCGAAACGTCCCAAGGGATGCGCCAGGCGACGTGCCAGGGGACATGCCATGGGGTCGCACCGCGGGACGTGCCAAAGGGACGCGCTACGGAACGTGCCAATGGATGTGCCACGGGATGTGCCAGGGGACGCGCCACGCGACATGCCAGGGAGACTCGCCAAGGGACGCGCCACGGAACGTGCCACGGAACGTGCCAAGTTGCAATGCTGAGTGTATCGATCTTGATGTACCGTGCCGAAATCTGTGCTGTGCTGCGCCGTGCTGAATTGCGATGTGCCATGCCGCGATTGTGCTCTATAGCCTCGTGGATCGAGTCCTCCTTTGCATCCGAGTCCTGACCGAACTGATCTGGATCTTAAGCTCGAGCTGCCTGAACACATAGTAGCTGCCCCAGAGCTAATGGACAGGGGGGCATGCCAGGAGGACGCGACGCGGAACGTCTCAAGGGACCCGCCAAGCGACGTGCCAAGGGACGTGCCATGGGGACGCACCGCGGGACGTGCCAAGGGGACGCGCTACGGAACGTGCTGGGGACAAGCGTTTCGCTCGAGACATCCTGCCAACATCCTCAGAATTCCTGCGCGCGGGACGCGGCACGCGCGAGACATCTTCCGAATTCCTGCGAGCGGGACGTGAAAACAAGCATTTCGCCTGAGACACCCTCTGAATTCTGGCCCCCCACGAGGCCCCCGCTCGAGACATCCCCAAGTTTGCAGAAACCAGCGTTTCGCTCGAGACATCCTCAACAAATTATGAAAAACAAGCGTTTCGCTCGAGACATCCGGTCAAAATTCTAAGAAATCCTGACAAAACAAACGAATTAGTCGAGACATCCTCGAAATTCCTGCGCGCGGGACGCGGCCCGCGCGAGACATCCTTGGAATTCCCGCGAGCGGGACACGAAAACAAGCATTTCGCCTGAGACATCCTCTGAATTCTGGCCCCCCGCTCGAGACATCTCCAAATTTTGCGGAAACCAGCGTTTCGCTCGAGACATCCTCCACAAACTATGTAAAATAAGCGTTTCGCTCGAGACATCCTGCCAAAGTTCTAAGAAATCCTGACAAAACAAGCGAATTAGTCGAGACATCCTCGAAATTCCTGCGCGCGGGACGCGGCACGCGCGAGACATCCTCGGAATTCCTGCGCGCGGGGCGCTTTTCCGAGTCGCGGTCGGGGCTCCAGACCCCGTTATTTTTCGAGGATTCTGCGAAAAACGCTCCGCACCCTCTTTTTTACGAGGGAAAGCGGGGGTCTGCGGACCCCGTTATTTATCGAGGATCCGAGATGGGGGGCGAACTTTCCTCGAGCGGGCACGCACAAAACGCACTTTTTCTAAACATGATGGACCCACGAACCCGGAAAGGGATATAGACATGTGCAGCATGGTCACGTTTTCACGATATCCAACTGGGCGACACCTCACGAAACATCCCACGAGACACCCCGCGAAACATCCCAGGAGACACCTCACGAAACAACCCACGAGACACCTCACGAAACATTCCACGAGACACCCCGTGAAACATTCCACGAGACACCCCACGAACAGGCAACCACTCAACCAGACACCCCACGAAACATTCCACGGGGGTGCGACTGGGTGTGGTCGTGCTGGGGTGTGGTCGTGCTGGAGTATGGTCGTGTTGGGGTGTGGTCGTGCTGGGGTGTGGTCGTGCTGGGGTGTGGTCGTGCTGGGGTGTGGTCGTGCTAGGGGGGTGGTCGTGCTGGGGGGTGGTCGTGCTGGGGCGTGGTCGTGCTGGGGCGTGGTCGTGCTGGGGTGTGGTCGTGCTGTGGTGAGGTCGTGCTGGGGTGTGGTCGTGCTGGGGTGTGGTCTTGCTGGGGTGGGGTCGTGCTGGGGTGTGGTCGTGCTGGGGTGTGGTCGTGCTGGGGTGTGGTCGTGCTGTGGTCGTGGGTCGTGCTGGGGTGGGGTCGTGCTGGGGTGTGGTCGTGCTGGGGTGTGGTCGTGCTGGGGTGTGGTCGTGCTAGGGTGGGGTAGTGCTGGGGTGGGGTCGTGCTGGGGTGTGGTCGTGCTGGGGTGTGGTCGTGCTGGGGTGTGGTCGTGCTGGGGCGTGGTCGTGCTGGGGTGGGGTCGTGCTGGGGTGGGGTCGTGCTGGGGTGTGGTCGTGCTGGGGTGGTCCGCACCCTGTGATTTATCGATCGGGTCGTGCTGGGGTGTGGTCGTGCTGGGGTGTGGTCGTGCTGGGGTGTGGTCGTGCTGGGGTGTGGTCGTGCTGGGGAGTGGTCGTGCTGGGGTGTGGTCGTGCTGGGGGGTGGTCGTGCTGGGGGGTGGTCGTGCTGGGGGTGTGGTCGTGCTGGGGGGTGGTCGTGCTGGGGCGTGGTCGTGCTGGGGCGTGGTCGTGCTGGGGCGTGGTCGTGCTGGGGTGGGGTGCTGTGGTGTGGTCGTGCTGGGGTGTGGTCGTGCTGGGGTGTGGTCTTGCTGGGGTAGGGTCGTGCTGGGGTCGGGTCGTGCTGGGGTGTGGTCGTGCTGGGGTATGGTCGTGCTGGGGTGGGGTCGTGCTGGGGTGGGGTCGTGCTGGGGTCTGGTCGTGCTGGGGTGTGGTCGTGCTGGGGTATGGTCGTGCTAGGGTGGGGTCGTGCATTTCGCTCGAGACATCCTGCCAAAATTCCAGGAAATCGTACAAAAACAAACGAATTAGTCGAGACATCATCGAAATTCCTTCGCGCGGGGCGCTTTTCCGCGTCGCGGTCGGCTCTGCAAAACAAGCGTTTCGCTCGAGACATCCTCGGCAAACTCTGCGGAGCAAGCGTTTCGCTCGAGACATCCTCAACACACGAAAAAGTGTCCCGCACCCTGTGATTTATCGATCGGGATTTCAAAAACAAGCGTTTCGCTCGAGACATCCTCAAATTTAAATTCGCCGGCCTCCTTCGACCTCGTTATTTATCAGGGAAAAAATTCGCCGGCCTCCTTCAAGTTGGCACCGGGGGACAGGTTTACCCACTAAAAGAGAACCCTGGGCCCAGGCCCTTTCCGGGAAAAATCAGCACTTTACCTCGTTATTTATCGCAAATAATTTCGCCGGCGCTTGACCCGTCAGGACCGGGGGGTAAACAGCAATTGCGAAGCCGAAAAAACGTTTCGCAAGAAGCGAGCGAAACGCACCAGTCCGCAATGGTTTTGGCCCAAATTGATTGGGCAGGCGCACGTACCGCCGTGCAAACTTTTGCCGACCGACGCGGGTCGCCATGGCCTTCAATCAGCAGTCTGCCCCGTTGCCTCTGCGCCCGTTGCCTCTGCGCCCATTGGGCCTGCCGCCCCGCCCGCGCAAGCGCCCGGCCCCTGAGCTTCCTGTGCAGGAGGAGGACCCACCAGAGGTGGCCCCGGCGGAGCTGGATGATACGTGGCAGTCGCTGGAGGTGCTGGACGTGGAGATGGCGTCCCAGCTGGAACTCGGCACTGGTGGTATCAGCAGCGACAAGGTGGTCTTGGGCACCGACTGCTCGGGGCTGGACACGTTCAAGGTCGCTTTGGACGCTGTTCTGGTCAAAGGCGGGAAGGATGTCGTGCACGCGTTCGCGTCCGACAACCGGCTGTGGGCACGCAAGTTCATCAAGAAGCACAACCCGGGCTTGTGCATCGTGTGCAGCGACATCACCAAGCGCCCCAACAAGCAAACGCCCTACGTGGACATTTACTGCGCCTCGCTTCCGAACAATGGCCAGTACACGGCACAGGAGCTGTCCGACGGCGTGGATAACCCCCACGACAAGGATATCGTCACGATGCACGTTCTCAACTACATCAAGGAGAAGAGGCCCAAGGCATTCCTGCTCGAGTCCAGGGCCCACCTCTACAGCGCGAGCATGAAGCCAGAGATGGCGGCGGTGCACGGCTACCTGCAGAAGAAGCTCACGACCGAGAGCGGCGACCCGAGCTACTACGTCTGGAGCGACCCGATGGACGCGCGTTGCGATGGTGGCCTGCCTCAGGCGTCGCAAAGGTTGTTCTTCGTTGGCATCCTCAAGACGGCAGTGGATCCCAGGGCCGTTTCCAACCCGTTGACCCTCTCTCAGATGGAGGAGAAGAGCCTCGCGGACGTGCTGGACCCATACGTCGCGCCACTCTCCAGGCCCGACTTCGACGAGCCGCCAGGCCTGAGTCCGGCCCAGCTCCGCAATTACAAGAAGGTCAAGGACTGGCTCGAGCCCGCCATAGACGTGAAGATGCCGAACCCCCCCGGCAATCAGATCATCATCTCGGACTTGAGCGTCGGTCCGACGAGGGACCCCGACACTTTGCGAGGATGCTCGATCGGCCTGACGCCCAGCCGCCCGAACGGCTACTTCATCTGGGGGAGGCAGCGGTTCATGACGACTACTGAGATGGAGTCGCTGCAGGCCATTCCGAACGACCACTTCAAGCACGACGGCATCATCAGCGAGAACCAGTACAAGAAGCTCGTCGCTGAGGCGCCGCCTGCCCCGATAGTCGGCCGCGTCTTGCGCAAGATTTTGCTACAGGTGAAGCTCCCTCCGGCTATCGTGGAGCCCGACCCTTGGTGCCCTTCTTCGGGCTGGGCGAAGGCGAAGGCTTATCCTCCTGTGTTTCCCTACTTCGACTGAGGTCTGAGGTCCCGGTCTTGCCGCGCTCTGGTGGGGTTCCGAGCCGGCTGAGGGGAGCAGGGGGAGGGGGGGGGAGGATGAGGAGAAGGATGAGGAGGCAGGATGAAACGAGTGCCTAGTAGCTAGCTGCCGCCCGAGCGAGGCTCGGAAGGAGGGGATAGCCACTCCCAGAGTGCGACCGTGCCTGCTCGCCAAAATCCTTAACGCTTCGCGTATCCCCACCAGCCCATCCAGAAACAATCGCCAGGCGAGTTGAGGTGTTGTTGCGAGAGGCTCTCGGAGGTCTCTTGTGGCCATCTTGGGGCTCTCTTGGGGCCCTCCTGGGGCTCTTTGGGGGAGTCTGAGAGGTCTCTTGGGACCGCTTTGGGCCCCATGGCTCAGCCCCCCCCCATCGGAGGTGTTTCGCGCCGTAGGCCTGCCCCACCCCCTCCCCCTCCTCTTCCTCCTCCCGCTGCTTCCCCTCCCCCTCTCGTTTCGTTGGGGCGTCGGCTGCGACTGCGAACGATGATGGCGATCGCGGTGGCGGCAGCGGCGGCGATGACGATGACCGAGGTGATCGAGCTTGTGATGATGATGATGATGACAGTGGCGATGACGATGATGATGATTTGTGTTTTACTTACAACCGCCCAGGCCGCAACAGCCCCGCCAAATCTCGAATGTGTTTTGCAGCCTTGCAACACTCCGAATCATCATCGATGGCACGCACCGACCGCGCATCGAACGGGGTCCAGCACCACATACTTTAAAAGCGCCTCAGGGCCTGTAAGGCGCGTTCTCACGCACGAGATGGCTGGATCGGCCTTTTCCCCGGCAGTCACAAAAGCAACGGAGTTCGCGAATTTCTTCTGCGCGTTGAGACGGGTCGCCTTCTCTGCGAACACAAGCTTACAATCAGGCTCATACAAAGTCCACTTAGACTCGCTCCGCTCGCTCATTCCCCGAATTATCTCGTGCAAAGATGGGTGCGCAGCTATGAACGCTGCCGAACACCAAGCAAACCGATGCACTGTGACTTGCGGCTTGTAAGCCACGGCGACGCCCGCAGCACCGCGCGTTTCAAGATATACAAACGTGCACACCACGCCGCCAATCAGGGCTGCCGCGAACTGGACGCGCTGCCCAGGAGACTCCACATCCTTAACAACGAACACGTCCGCCTCTGGACGAGTCGCACCTACGCCGGCCCCATTCCTATTTAGTATGTCAGCAACACGGCTCGCCTCCGGGAGGGCCACGGACTTATCGAAGAAAACATTCTTGCCGCGCAGTCGTGCGACGTGCGGCGCCTCGGCTGCGGACTGTCTCTTGGCCTTCGCCACGTATGCATTGACCCTCTTTCTCTCCGTCGCTACTTGGTCGAGGACGCCCTTGAGCTCCTCCTGATGGTGACACACCCCCGAAATCAGAAGATAGTTTGGGTCCTCCTCCTCCGCCGCGTCCTCCCCCCCCGTCCTTCCGCGCGCATAGCGAGGTTTTTTGCTGTGTTGCATCATCAGCATTGCATTGTTTTCCTGCGTTGCATGTCGCCGCTTTGACTTGGCTGACCACGTGCCTGTTCGAGTGTTCTCCTCCTCCCCCCCTCAGCCCCCTCCCCCTGTGCACAGCTTTTCCCCTGCTGACTTCCCGCGCCCCGCAGGGGCCCTCCGACGTGGCGCCAGGGATGATAGGAGGGCGAGGAGCGTGGGGCCAGGGACGGGAGGGGGGCGGGGCCAGGGATAGGAGGGTGAGGAGGAAATTTTCATTGTTCCATCCTGGGTCCTCGCTGGCGCAGGCCAGCTGGTCCTCCGGGATCTCTCCATTCAGCACGGAATCGTGAAAACGCTTCTGCCTCTTATTCTGTTGGAACTTCACCTCCTTCTCGTGGTCGGCGGTCCATCCGTCAACCCCGACGGTCCGCGTGCCCGGGGCGCTCATCAAGTCGACTGGCCGCGTCTGGGAAACAACGCCCTGAACATCGGCGCGCCTGCCCCGAATCCAGGACGTCTCAGTGTTGACGTCGCGCGCCCTTGCGGGGGCTTCCTTGGGTAAGTCCATGCGGACGCGCACTCTTGGCCTGCGAACCGGTCCGTAAATCTTTGCCCAGATCTTGGGCGCCAGCGCCACCGCTCGATCGATGTGGTCCTTGCTCCACGGCTGCTTGATCACGAGCTCGTCCTGCATGTAGCCCCCCCACTTGTCTGGCCGATTCGCGCCAGCGAGGTTGAGGATCTGCGAGAAGTTCTGCTCAAGGCCGCTAGTGCTCGGGCCGTAGGCGCCGAAGGTCATCAGTACTGGCCTCAACGCCCCCACCGGGTGGAGCTTCGCGTTTCGGGCGTCTTTCTGACACTCGGCAACCGCCATCGCCCACGCGGCGATAGTACCAGTACAAGACGGGTCTATCAGCATCTGTTGCGCTATCGGCCTCACGTCGTTGAGCTGGCTGAACAGTGCGGTCGGGTTCACGCAGACGAATTCGGCCAAGCTGTCGCAACTTGCTCGCAATTGGGACATAGTCTGATTCCCTAGGTCATGCTGCGAACCCTGTGCGGGCGCGCCGAGGGACTGCGATAGCTCGCCGAGATTGAATGCCCTCATCGCGTAGATGATCTCGAACTCTGGAATTTCTGCACGTATGGTCTCGCGGGCCAAGTGGACCCAATTAGCCATCCGTTGCACGCACCTCCTCTTGACGTCGACGGGGACGCCGGCCGCGCATCCCAGCGTCTTCTGACCAATCCATTGCGAGGAGGAGCACGGGCTCCTGAAGTTGCTGCACCATGTACTGCGTGTAGCCGAGCTTCCAACAATGTTCATCAACGAAGAGAGCATGGATCCTGCTGAGGAAGGCGCGCAAGTTCATGGAAACAGCAGAGACGTCCATGCGCTCGGTGTCCATGACGCGGATGAGCATGTTGCACTCGTCCCCCGCATCTGCCAGGAGAGCCAACGTGACTGCGCGCTCCACGTCCAGAAAGGACAAGTACGCCGAGGCCAGCTTGCTCTCCTGCTTGCCCACGCGAGAGGTAGCTATCTGGGTTGCCGTCGCAATCACGCTCTTGAACATCAGGACGTGTCGCCCGAAAGGCTTCTGCGTCGAATTGAAGCGATGCTTTGCGAAGCTCAGGTCGCGGATCCTGTTGGCCTGGAACGGGCAGTGATCCAACTTCTCATTGTGTTGCTGAAACCATCCCTTGAACGTCGGGGAGTTCTGTATCAGGGTCGTGATCGAACCTTTCGCGAGGATCATGATGTCCGCCGTGTCGCTCAGGTACTGGTCTGCAGCCCATGCCCTCGAGCACACCCTCCGGACGCCGTGGGGCTTGTCCTGCGCAACCTTTTTCAAGTTAGGGAGCACGTCGCGAGAAATGCACCCAGCTGCCTGGGCCCACCCGGCGTCCTCTCAGGGCGCGGAAAATGGGATGGAGCGGAGGTGGAGAGGAGGAGGGCAGAAGGGAACGGAGGTTGCGGAGGAGGGGGAGAAAGAGGGTTAGGAGAGCACGAGGAGGCGGAGCAGCAGCGGTGGAGGCGGTGATAAGGGAGGTGGAAGACGAGGGAGAGTGAACGAGGAGAAGGAGGGAGGAGAGTAAAAGAGAAGGAAAGCAGCAGCGGCAGAAGGTCCTTCAAGAACTTGCCAGCCACTTGCTCCGGCGCTGCAGAGTCAGCTGTATACATCTGCACGGACTCGCACACGCTCTTGAACAGCTTCTGGTCGAATTTGCCGTGCTTCTGCGAAAACGGCGGGTCCCGAAGTGGCGTGCAAAACTCCCGAAGGACGTGCAGGGAAGCGTCCCGGATGCCAGTCGCTCTGCCGTTGAACGGCGGCTTTGTCAAATCACATACACCGACGATACCGCTCATCACGTTGATGTTCTTATCGCAGCCCCTGATGCGCATGAGCAGGACCTCCTCCGTAGTGTCTTGCAGAATAGAAGACACCGTCTTGTTCTTGAAGAAGGAGCGCAATAGAAACCGCAATGCCTCGGCTATGCACCAAACCATGCGTCTCTTCTTTCTTGCTCTTCCGAATGCGGGGAGGTCGGATGGGCCCTCTCCCCGAACGGCCTCCAGGAGGCTTCTGAAAGTCGAAACAGATGGGGCCCCAGGAACCGTAATTTGGACAGGCGTCTTCCCAGATGCGATGGTGCCAACGACGACGCTGCTCAGCTCCTTGTGAATCTGGGAGCTCACGTGCTTCTTGATGTTGGATTGGATCAGGGCATCAGGCGAATCCAAAGTGAATTGGGCGAGGCCGGGCTTGTTCATCTTGGTGCTTGTAGAGCATATCCAGCAGCCCAGCGCTGGCCTTCCCGTCGACATCGTCGCGAACGCTGCCCACGTACCGCGGTCTGGGGCCAGAGGGTCCAAGAGGGTTTCGCGCCAGAACCAGTGCGATGTACCCAGGCGTTTAGCTGCGAAACAGATAACGCAATCTACAGAATCACACAAGGCGACGTGCCTCTCGTACCTGTCGATGGTGTAGTCACTGAGGCGAGTGAACTGGAAGTCCCTGCACAGCGGCGCCCCCAGGGCTGGCGGTTGGCTGCTGGCGGCGGGTCGCGGGCGCGTCGCCCCGCCGCTAGGCGCGGCGGACGGCGGCGGAGTGGCGTCCAAGAAAACATCCCAGCCGTCCATTGCCGGCAGATGGAGTCTGGCGTCAGCCAGGAAGCGAGGGGCGGTTTAAGGAAAGGGGGGCGGTGAAGGAGGTCAGGAGGAGGAGGGGGGAGGAGAGAGGCGGTGGAGGAGGTCGAGGAAATCGTGGCGGTGGAGACGAGGAGAGGAGGAGGAGGGCGGCGGGAGGAGAGACGGCCGGCCGGCGCGCGCCGCAGGGGCTGGCGAGGCCGAGGGCTTCCGCGAGGCCGGGGGGGCGGGCCGGCCCCGCGCGAGCCTCCTTCGTCGTCGTCGTCGTCGTCGTCGGGCGTCGTCGGACGACGAGGAAGGAGGATGAGGAGGAGGAGAGGGAGAGGAGGAGGAGGAGGAGGAGGAGGAGGAGGGAGGAGGAGAATGAGGAGGAAGGAGGA